AGTTTCTGTAGCCATTTGGGATGAGGAAGGGCCAGATACTTCTAAGGATGACAGGTCTGGAGAAGACCGGCTTGGAGGCAGCACAAAACTGTCTCTAGGTTTTTCTGTCTCAGGCACAGTGCCTGATTTGGTGTCCTCAGAGAGGAGCGGAGCAACAGCCACAGCTGCTTTTTTGGCTGGGCTTGCCTGCAGGGCACTGGTGGAGCTCAGCAGCTTCACAGATGTAGTATCAGCATCCATCTCCACGGCCTTGCGCTTTTGGGCCAATTGGGGAGATGAAACAACTTTAACCTCAGATGGCTTCATATTTACTGTGGGTTTAGCTTTCCTCTTTTTTGCCGAAGACTGTGCTGCACAATTCACATTCACATTCAATATTGAGTTTCCAGTCTCTGAGGTTTCTACCTTCATCTTCTGGCATGACTTGGTTGGAAACTGACTGGTAAGGAGTCGTGTGACACCTGCCACAGTGGTGAGTGCAGGTTTCTCCACCACATGGGTTTTGCGAGAGGCTGCATCTCCCTGAAGGGGTTTTAAGGCTGATTTTTTTCCTTCTGGGAGGCTTCCCTCTCCCGCTGTTTCTGCATATGATTTTCTCTCACGGTCTCACATCTCTGGACTGGAAGTGTGGTATCAACTCCTATGGTCTCATCTGAACTCTCATTAGCCTTTGTTCAAGTAACTCTGCTCTGAGAAGCAATTGCACCTCCTTCCTGAAGCTTCTCTTCTTTCATACCTGGTCTTTTGAGGACCTGGAGCAGCACCCATTTTCCTGGGGTGGCCTCGGGTTGGGGCTGGGAGCTGGTGCTCCTCTCAGTGTTCTGCTTCATTCTCAGTGCCTTTTCCAGCTTGATTTCCTCCAGTGTCTTAATGTGCACCTCCTGCAGAGATTTTCTCATACCTGCAGGCCCCTCTGATTTGTCCTTTGCTAACAGTGACAGGTGCCAAAATGACTGTTTTTTTAATGTCACTATCAGTCTTTATTTTATTTTTTATTTTGGGGGGACCGGGGATTGATCTCGGGACCTTGGGCTTGCAAGGCAGGTGGTGCACCCACTGAGCTAAATCTCCAGCCCTACCAGTCTTTATTTTGATGCAAGTAAGGTCCTTTTCACTTTTTTGTCTCTCTGTTTTCTGCTGCTGATTTTTTTTTTTCAGCCAGGATTTCCGTGAAGGTTTTGATTTGGATGGTGGAGGAGCGTCTGATTTTTGATGTAGAATCATCAGCTTTTGAAGGACAGGGTCTCTTGAGTTTAGTTTGCAACTCTCCACGTTTTTGACTGGCTCTTTCAAGAAGAATTTCTTCTAATGTCTTCACATGGATCTCACTGACTTTATTCCCTCTCACTGTTGCTTTATCATTGCTTGGCCTAGTTGGTATGCCTAATCGCTCCTTCAGAGACTTGGAAATCTGCGCTTTCTTTGGTGCTTTGTTAATATTTGTTTCTGGAGCTTCGATTTTCTTTCCTAGCCGCTCTGCCAGGCTCCGTTTTAACGGGGGATCACAGTCACCATCAGCTGAAAGTTTTCGTTTCCCCAGTCTGTCAGAAAGACTCAGTCTAACCAAAGGTTCTTCTTTGCTTGACAAAACTACCGTCTTCACCACAGTCTGGACACACTCTTTTTCAGGACCTGGAGTGAGCTGAGGTTGGAGTAGAAGACTGGAAACTCCTGAAGAAACTTCCTGTTGTGAATCGACCTTTGGTTTCTGTGGAGAAGCCACCTGTAATGCAGTCTGGACTTCAGGAGTTGACAGTAAAGAAGATGTTTTGATTTCTTTACGCTCCTTAGAAGACTGGTCGTCATCATCATCTTCTTCATCATAATCATCTTCATCTTCATCATCGTCATCATCATCATCATCATCATCATCATCATCATCATCATCATCATCATCTGCAGCATTGATTGTAACCTGTGGATGTTTGGGGCAAGGAAAATGTTGGTAACTTCCTCCTTTCACACCCGGAACACTCCGCAGCGGAGGGGAGGGGCCAGACTGGACAGAGAGTTTGCTCAGTTGAGCTGCTAGCTGGTCGACTATTCCTTCTTCCGGTGACTGGAGCGCAGAGGGCACCATAGTTTTGCTTGGAGGCAGGAACAGGCCACCGACATAGGGACCTCTGTCGTGGTGGAAAGCACAGTTTAGTTTTTGACATCCCCCTGGCTGATTTTCCCAGTAACGCGAAATTTCACTGCTTTTTTTATCAATCCTCATGTGCCGATACCTCCACAGGGGCTGAAAACAGCGTCCTTCTTGCCATAATGGGCAAACAGTTTCATTTCCCAGCGTGGCTTCACAGTGACGGAATGGACACATGTCACCTTTGGTACAGGTGGAGTAGAAAAAAAAATAGCAGTCTTCTCCTCGATTAGACATGCTGAATAAATTCTCAGATCAAAGGTGAGATGGCTTCCCGAAATAAGCCACTGCTTCCTCGAGGGGAGGACCAGCTCCAAGTCCTCCTAAAATGGGCTTGATCTCCTGATCTTTCAAATGACAAGCACAGAAATCGTTTTTAAAGCGTAATTATTAGCGGTTGCTCTCAACAGGAACATCTGGGTCTTTGCTGAGTTCCGATCTATTCCACTCTTAATACTAGTTAGTCAATTTTCTAGGAATTATTTGAGCAGGAAATATCCCCCAATCAATCTGCTTCTCCAGCGTTGAAGAACTGTTGGTTTCCAGGGACACTCAGTCTCCAGGTTTCCCAAGCATCATAAATGGGGGAGGGGAGGACGCCGTTCTGGAAGGAGTCATGGGGTGGGGGTGGGGCAGATGGGAAAAGTGAGGGGAGCCAGAAGCCAGCTCACCCTGCGAGGCCTGGAGTCAACAACACAATATCTTAATCTACAACCATAACCACGGCAATCTCCACTTAAACTGAAATTACTACCATAATGAGAAAAAAAAACACAACCAAAACAAACAACAAAAATATTCGACCAGCCTTTCAAATGAACCTTCTATGACAATGCATAGTGACACCTCTCTGACCAAACATACACTTCAGTTGAGCACAATACCACCCAGTATCTAAAACTCTGACAAAAGTTACACCTAGCATTACTGCAGACCTTCAACAATAACCACCTCTGTGGAACATAACTCCAGAACCCACATTATAACTTTTTCTCTATCATAATGGGTAGATGCTGGAATCCATTTAACTATGGCTACTGAACTTATGACTACAACAGAAACAAACACTCCCACTGACTCTGAAAACACTTTCTACTGAACTGCTATAATTATACCCACCTCATTCATTTGAAATTACAACAAATGGCATCAGGCCCACCTTATCCACTGAAACTAAAAGCACAATAATTTGTAGTAGGCATATTCTGGCTAGAGATAGCAGAACCACTTCTGGAGAAACTACAAGCAAAACAACTCCAACTCCGTCTTCTGCTGAGCCCTTAACCACAGCACCAGCTGTCACCAAACTGAACCTCAACCCCCAATTCTTCTGAGACAACAACCAAGGCAGCTATTCCCACTCACATTACATCTACAGCTACCACTCTCTGGAAAGGCACAAAACGAGGACCAAAGCTTCAGATGCATGTATAATCACTTGTTATTTGTTCAGAAGGTGCTATCAAAAGAAACAATAGCATTCAGAACTAGTATCATTTCAAATAAGTCTACAAATGCCATGATTCTGGCCCCTTCAAACGAATGTGGACCAGCACTTTAGCTGAGTTCTCCTGCTGCTACCACAGCCACAACCACTGCCGCCTGTCTGAGCCTATCGAGAATTTTTTTTTGTAATAAATTCTTTTATTGGTACATTGTAGGTATACAACACAATTACATTTCTCATTGGGAATTGTACCTTT